CCTTTGAAGACAGTAGAGTTAAAACAGTTACAGTGACTCACTACAAAAACTGATCTGTTGTATCACCTTTGAAGACAGTAGAGCTAAAACAGTAACAGTGACTCACTACAAAAACTGATCTGTTGTATCACCTTTGAAGACAGTAGAGTTAAAACAGTTACAGTGACTCACTACAAAAACTGATCTGTTGTATCACCTTTGAAGACAGTAGAGTTAAAACAGTTACAGTGACTCACCACAAGAACAGATCTGTTGTATCACTTTTGAAGACAGTAGAGTTAAAACAGTTACAGTGACTCACTACAAAAACTGATCTGTTGTATCACTTTTGAAGACAGTAGAGTTAAAACAGTTACAGTGACTCACTACAAAAACTGATCTGTTGTATCACTTTTGAAGACAGTAGAGCTAAAACAGTTACAGTGACTCACTACAAAAACTGATCTGTTGTATCACCTTTGAAGACAGTAGAGTTAAAACAGTTACAGTGACTCACCACAAGAACAGATCTGTTGTATCACTTTTGAAGACAGTAGAGTAAAAACAGTAACAGAGGCTGACCTCAAGAACAGATCTGTTATATCAACTTAGGTAAAATATGTAGTTAAAACACAAAGCAATACCAACTCACCTCAAGCGCATCAGCAGCAGTTAAATTCCATGTTGGAATATCAGAATCAACTCTCTGCACAACCACACTAGGGGACGAACTAATAACACCATCAGAGATGCTACTTATACCAGTGTTTGCCAAGGAATCAACATTCCCATGAAATCCATCAGCATTAACCCCTTCTGTCATCTTCAGAAAAGAGAATCTGGGACAGAGACAAAAAGTAAATAAAACTTTATATATTTACCATATAGTGAATAGTGTGCCTTCATTAGTATGCGTAAGTGATGCTCAGAGACTTGTTGTGACCAAAGTTGCTAATTTACTTGCAAATGAAACACATACATTGATATGGTGATCTTAATTATGAAATTTGGTAAAATGAAATTCATATTTTATAAACAAAATAAATGTAAAAAGAAGGAAAATCAGAGGCCACAACATTTTCGCGTCATCTGCACAGTCGCAAAGAATTTTTTTTTTTAAAAACTTCTCTCCCCAGCAGTCAACAAGCAATTTCAACATGATAACATTCCATTTTGAATCAGGATCCTTACAATAATATTCCTAACACTGACAGTAAATGAGAAGTAAGGAAGGTAGACTTACAGTGTACATACAGTCTCTTCTTTATTTTGATTGGTGTTTTTTTAATAAAATAAAATATGGGAGTACATAAATGGCGCAAGCTCGGTTACCACGAAATAAAAAGAAGACTTGCGACCTTGCTATTAATATTAATGAGCATTTCAATGACGTCACAAATTTGTTTGGCCGAGCATGCATACATATAAGTTAACATTCTTCAAGATGGCAGTGAATAGTGGACAAGCGATCACGCCGACAAAAAAAAAACAAGCTTCACAACTGTCACCGAGAACAAGGAATGCATTTGCATTGTATATGGGCAGAAGATGCATGCATGCCATTAAATTGAGTTCAGAATCTCAGTGATTTGATAAACCAAAACTCACATAAATATCGTGTCCAAAAATGTACACATCAACGACCACTCGTATTCTCAAAGCGATGTATAACCTACTACATTTAGTCTTGCTATGCTATCATAAATAATTTAAAAAATAATGTGAAGTGCAAGCGTGCGTTTCAATCGATGAGTTAACGCTGATTAGTGGAATATTAATGAACCTGTCAATCATTGCATCACACACTGAACCCAGACCAGTGACAATCATCACTGGTGTTACAAGAGGGCATCTACAAGAGTCACAAGTCCCTTGTTTATTTACCGTACTCGTCCGCGTTAGCGCCCACCCCTACTTTTGCACAATTTTTATATTTGGGGTCACATTCGGCAAAGCGCCCACCCCTTCAAAATGCAACTAATTTAAAACTTGGTCTTGCGTAACGAATCTTGGTAATCATTTTTATATAATACAGCGTGGCTTCAACAATGACCTGTTAATACAAGTAAAATGCGGTAAATATTTTATGCCATATTCAGTTTACCTCTCAAAAATGGCTAGTTACTAGTTTTTTTGAAAAACCATGTCGTTTATTCGCTGAGATCGTACTTCGACATCGATAATTCACTTCCGCATTGCGTTACCGGAAAGTAGTGAATTTCCAAAGAATTGCATCAGTACAACACAGCATTCTGATTGGTTAATAACCAACTTGACCCATTAGGTCAAATGACGCTGCTTCAGGTCAAATCTGCAAATGCATCATGACGGAAAGTGATTTTCATCGAGAGTTTGCATACCAACACCTTCGTCAGTGGAGATAATATGAGAATTTTGACTTCGACTGTGTTTCAACAGACTCAAATATTTTTAATTTCGTAAATTTTGGTGGTACGTAATTAATATTGTAATAAAATATGCATATTTTTTGTGATCATTTTTGTTTCTTCATTGTGAAAATCAATGACGACTCAACTAATTTTGTAATTTGATTTTCCCCCAAAGACGTAATCTGTGACTTGATGAATCAAAATTTTCATTTGCACTCTTTTTCAAGAGGGGTGCTCGGGTAAGCGCCCACCCCTAAAAAATCTTGATTTTCAGAGTTGAGGCCCCTGGGCGCTAACGCGGTCGAGTACGGTAAATCCCAAGCTACATACATGGGCAAGCTCTACTACATTAACAAAGTTGATCACCTAATTATTTTGAAGATTATCGCAATTTATTGGTTTCTAAAATTTTTTACTGATCACTGATCTCCATAATTTTGTCTTGGACCTATGGTTCAACACTAATTTAACTTTTAATGAGAACAAACATTATTGAAGGAGTGTATGCAGTGTTACAAACTGGTAAAATCAATACATCTTGCAAATAATCATCTATGACCATACACGTACACAAAAGATATAACTTACTTTTCTCGGGATTTAAATAGCAGTACTTATTATTTAGTTATGGCTTGTTACATAACGTTTTTTTTTCATGAGCAGTAATACAGATTTGCACAATCTTCTTTACTGACTGTGCATAGAGGCTACATTTTTTGTTTACAAATGACAGCTTCACATGTACATGCAAATATGCATATCAAAAACAAAATTCTATGTTTTGTACTTTTAAGAGACAAGGTTCAAAAGAGAATAAAAACATTATCAAAGATACTATATTGCAAAACTTTTGTATCGCTGTTGACACTTCTGTAGAAGATGTTGAGTGAAAGTCTTCAACAGAACTTACAGAATTTTTACATAGCTTCTCCAGTTACAATTGTGACATAAGCATTAGCAATCAAAGACTGAGGATGAGATATACAATAGGTTTCATGAGGGCAAGAATTTGTTTTATAAAAAATATTTATAGAATTAAAATGATAGTTGGAAACCACTATACCAATCACCATGTGTTTGGGATGCACGAGTAATGGTTACCTAACGGTTTCTACAGCCAATCAATACATCTTTTTTGGATTTGAATGAAGCTCAACGATCTTATTTATAAATATCAGTGGTGTTCTAGTAACAGATCTTGACAAGTGTCAAAAGTCAGGATCAAGTGGACATGTGTCAAAAAATCTGCTCTTGGTCCCAATAGAAAGTCAAGTGAAACACAACACATGTCGGAATGAACCGGAATGTTTGGGCATGATTTTGGCAAGAACCAAGTGGGCCCCAAGTGAGTCCTGACTAACGTGAATGCAACTGCTGTAATCATTCTCCAAACATGGAGGATTATGAATTTTTACAAATGCAAAGAACCGGTAACATGAGCGTAGCTAAGCATAAACAAATTCATACCTTCGTGGAACTCTGTGTACCTTTTTAGATCACTTTTGATTAAAACTTTTGTGAAAATCTGAAGACAACACAACAATGTTAAATATTTTCAGTGGAGCCTGCAACTCACTCATGAACGGTCAAGAATACTTTTTTAATTTTTAATTTCTTCATATGAACATATCAGCTCTTATTTTCCTCAGCTGAACAAAAAATAATAGGAATAATATACAACTTCCATATATCATGTTTAAATGTCAGGAAAGATAACCAAAGTTTCACATTGAAATATAAATTTTGATTTCAATAAAGAATCATGATAGAATACTGATTTGATTGCAAGCATGGTTGGTAGATATATAAATGAAATCTACATCTCAACATAGATAGATAGATAGAATTTTTTATTTGGAACGTACCAATGAAATCTTGAGTAAAGTCCAAAAATAACAATAACAAAACAAAACATTCAGAACAACAAAAACTTACAGTACTAAAACATATCAAGAATATAGAAAATAAATTTTGCAAAAATGCTAAGAATGAAATCATTACTTGAAACAATAATAGGAAATAATTCATCCATGCTAAAATCTTCCAGCTTTGGGGCATAGATGTATAAAGCTGCAAGGAATCTAGATCTTTGTTCTTTGATTTGACAATTATTACAATATAAAATGTAATGTTTCTCATCCCCTACTTCATTGCATTCATGGAGATTACATAGCCTGTTTTCCTTCAAAATGCCTTTATGTCTACCGGATTCAATGGGAAGAAAATGTGCAGAAGTTCTAAATTTAGTATAAGCTATTCTATGATTTTTATTTTTATTTTTTCCAAATAATGTCCAAATTCAAAATTTTCTTTAGCACACCTGTAAA